TAATTGCTGGTTAAAGCAACTGGAATGTCCATTAAAATACTGACTTATAAAAGTCCAGTCTGTGACAAAGGATACAAAACATTTTTTTTAAGACTTCTCAAAATCCAGGAAAGATATGGGAGAAAATAAAGGATATTTCTCTAGAAAAAGCAGTAGAGAGCACTGCCCCAGAATTGATCAAATGAAGCCTTTCAGTTCTTGATCCTCATGTATTGTACAGTTCTTTTTCTAAAATCTGAGGAATTTTTAGTATGGATAATTAGGACTCAGTTTTTATGATGTACCTTTGTAACACAATGTCTTGCTGAAACACAAATCAGAAACTAATTCTGTGCACAAGTGGGTCAGCATATCAGAATTAAAATAATCTTGCTAGATCACAAGTAGAAATCAGGAAGGAAAGAATATACCCAGAAAAATGAGAAACTAAAATATTGTATGAATTCTTTAATATGAAGTAATATGAAAGTGGTAAAAAAACTAAAGTTTTTTTTTGACAAAATTTTTGAAGGGGGAAAAAACTTCCAAAGTTAACAACAGACCTTTGTTCAGTCCCTATTGAATATCAAAGAGTAGAACTCCTTCTTCAGACAGAGAAACTGATCCTTCATTCCAAACAAAAATAAAATTTTGTTTGACAAGAATTTCTTATGTAAAGTAAAGGCTATTGTCTTCATTCTTTTTCGGTTTTTCGTTTTCCCTCTGTACCAACAAAAACAATCAAGTATAATTAAAACTTGGTGCAGTTTTTCTTGAATCCCTGTACCACAATGTGCATTTCTGGTGTTGTACAACATAAACACTACACTTTGCTACAACGCCACCAAAAAGAGAGCATAAAAGAATTACCATAAATTTAACAGCAAGTGCACATCAGTTTTCTGAAAGCAAACCATCCACAATTCTCTTTGACAGAAGGTAAACAATAAATAAAAAAAAGAGCTAAAAAAAGACAAAAATTAATTAAAATATAAGCCATGAAAAAACTTCATTTTGGATCCAGGAAAACAAGTCATTTACACCTCACATAGCTCCCTAGGGAAAAGGTTAAATTGGTGTTGCACCCTGTAGAAGTGGCCAGATAAATCTCAGTGTTTGATGCTGGCTCCACTGAAATACAATCAGCACTGAAATAAAAATTGCTGAAGTTCCCTGGTGCTGACCAGCTCTTGAAGGATTACACTGAACAATGGGTACACACATATAGCATACATATTTATTGGATTTCCCTGAAAGGATAACAGCTTATTATGTAAAGTACAAATGGAAGTTCCCCATTCCTTGTTTTCTTTAACACTAAAATTATGAATTTCAGAGTAGTGGGAAATTCTCATCCTGGGATCAGGACAGCATTAGAAAAGACAACACTACCAAACCCATGACATTACTATTATGCCAAGCAACCAGAAAAAAAGAAAGAAACAAACACAGACATCTGTTATCTGAAGATACCCAGTGGCTTTGATGAATAATGATGGATTCCTTCACAGATTGTCTCACTCTGAGGAGTGGCCTACTGTCCATGCTGAGGATTTCAGCATCTGCTTTACAAAATTCTGATTAATAACTTATTAAAGTGAAGGACAGGGAAAAAAGATAGTTGTCTAGTCAAAGACTCTACCTATACCCTATTAAGGCAAAAAAGTTTTATTAACTTTGAAAAAACAAATCCTAAGGAGATACTCCTTTTTAGGAGAGACACTTGACAATGCAGGGAGGTGACACCTAGGCAAAGTTCATTGCGTATGTGGATCAAAGCTTGTGAAATGAGACAGTCTTTACAGTGAGCTCAGATAACATATCTGATGAGACATAACATTTGAGTTATTTCATTACACATTAAACCACAGAAGACATTTTACTTTTTCAAATTTAAAAATATAAAATCCCTAAAAAACTGTTCTTAAATAGAACAATGTTAATGTTGGTTGTTGCCACAAGCGCAGTTAGAATGCAGGCACCAATGCCCTTCTCTCTTTCTTACTATACTAATTCCTAAAGCAATATGTAAATGAACAAGTAATATTTAATGAGCGATGTGGACCAGAAAGGCAGGGAAGAAAAAGAAACCCCTGCCTAATCTTTCTTTCTGAACTAAGACAGAAAGAAAGAAAACAGAAGACATTACCTTTTAGAAATAAAAGTAAAGCAAAAAAACCCAAAATCAAACCCAAAATCAACCAACCAAAAAAACCCATCACCAAACCAAAAAACCCCAACAAACAAAACCCTAAAACCAGAAAGACTTCAGCAGCCACAATCTCACCACTGTTACTTCCAAATCACAGTTAAACTAGTTTTATCTTGTACTTCAGTTACTGTGTTACACAAACAAGACCTCTGTCTGCCTCTCATAACTACATCTAATATCAACCATTCTTAAGTGTAAATATTTTTACACTTCAACTCAGAAATTAGTGCTTGGCTTATCTTCTTTACCCACCTCATAGCTCCTACTACCACACTCTGAAACCTCATCTGTGTATCAAATGCAACAAATTCCCTTCAGCACGAGCACATGGGACCATAGCAGTCTCTTGGAAAACAAAAGCAAACTCTGACAAAGCAAGCAGAACACTGAGCAAGGAAGCAGAGTGAATGAATAGCACTGTACCTGCAGCGGTGCACGTTACAACACAGAAGCAAAACTCCACAACTGACATCCAAATCCTCACTCTGCTAAAGGACTACGCAGTTAAGAGTCCTCAATTATCCCATCTAGTTACCAACCACCTGTGCAGCCAGCTGGTGGAAACTGTGGTGGGTTTGTCACATGACACACAGGCAATTCTAGTTATCCCAGATTACTCTTTTGAAGACTTGCTTGCAAAAGCACTTCCAGTATGGCTTAAGAATGCCAGGATCTTTCTGGAACTAAATGTGTATTTTTCTTGTAAAGCACTTGGAAATCATTGCATTACAAGTGCAAAGCACATAACGACTGTTGCTAACAAAGTTAGTGGTATAATACAAACATGTCCTAGAATTACAGAAATGCTTGCTCACTGTCATGGTTGTCTAGCACTGGAAATATCTATGTTCTCTAACTCACTTCTGCCAGTTTTATAATTTTAAAAGAGTGCCATTTATTTCTTCAGAATTTACACGAGCACTACTAAGCAAAAGGGAATACAGCTGGGAAGCAGAGGAAATTTCCAGGTGAATTTGTCCATGATTAACCCATAGTTGTTCTTTCTCCATTTTATTTTCTAAATAGTTTATTCATAGAGGATTTAGAATTTCATTATTAAACAATAAATGATTGAAAAATAATTTGAAACTTGGAGTAAACAGCGGGAGGGGTGGTGACAGGGAGGGGTGAGAGGAGGAAAAGAGGAGAGGGTGGAGAGAGATGGAGAGAAAAATCCTGGCCATGCAGGTAATTAGAGGGATGCCTGAGAGAATTGGGCTGTTCAGACTGGAGAAGGCTCCAGGGACTTCTAATTGAGGCCTTACAGCACTTGAAGGGGCCCTAAAGAAAGATGGGCATCAACATTTGTGCAGGGCTTGTTGAGACAGGACAATGCTTTTAAACTGAAGAAAGGTGGATTTATATTGGATACAAGGAAGAAGTTTTTTACAATGAGGGCGGTGAAGCACTGATAATGTTGCCCAGAGGTGTTAGATGTCCAGGAAACATTCAAGGTCAGGCTGGCTGGGGCTTTGGGCAGCCTGATGTGGTTGGAGATGTCTCTGCTCACTGTAGAGGGGTTGGACCAGATGGCCTTTAAATGTCCTTTCCAACCAAGCTGTTCTATGACCATTCTTATTACTGAATACTCACTTGTTTCCATCTGTGCCTCATCTTCAGCCCATTATCTTCAATAACATTGAGAAGATGGTCTGAGGGAAGTGTTGGAGGGCACCAGAAAAAGATCCAGGGTTTGTTAAAGCTAAGCTTTGGATTTTTTAAAGAGAAGATGGTCTGAGGGAAGTGTTGGAGGGCACCAGAAAAAGATCCAGAAAATACTTGGGTTTGTTAAAGCAAAGCTTTGGATTTTTTAACTAAAAAGATGCCTGATATAACTACTGCAATATGAGCATTTACCAGTGTAGAATGGGACTTTTCAGGCTAAACAATATATGTCTGCTGACTTGTTTGTTTGAATGGTTTAAAATGTTTTCATAAAAAACATTTAACTGTTTTAATGAAAAAAATTCCAAAATATAGCAGCCAAATAAACCAGAAAAAACTTGTCTTGAAGTCTGACAAAGTTATTCTGTATGTATTTTCTGACACAAATTAGGAGCAAGATTGCTTTTCCAGTACCCGAATTTTCAGCCTAAAAAGCTTTCTTTTTTGCAGAACTGCTCTGCAAAACCTATCATCTTGAAGCAATTTTCAGAAGAACCTAATTTTCAACAGTTGGAATCCAAAAATTATGCAGAAACTCTATTTAAATCTTCCTAGTAAGCAATATATGAGCTAGCTTTAACTTCATTGTTCAGAAGAAACATTAAAAGAATTAAAAACTGATAGAAATAATTTATTTTCTCAATGTCTTTTCATTTTCAATAACTGTAGAGCTACCCGTAAATAAGACTGCCTGCTCAGGGAAGCAGTTCTAAACATAGATTTTTCAAAGCTATTTTGCCCCTCCTGCATAGAGCCATCAGTGTAGTGCTGCATGTTTTTGATGGGAAATGGAAACCCAGGCTACTTTAAAATTTTCTTTTTTTCAGTCCTTACAAAAGAACTCCTGTCTCCAGAACCTGATTTAAAAATTACTATCTGAAATGTATCTTTAGCGTTTTCAGTTCAGCCCCTCCCCATGAAGTAAATCACACGCGAGGGAGTACCTTGTTTGTACGTATTACTCCATAAACCAGCAATGTTTAGTAAGCAACACAGCTAAGAGATCAGCTGCCAGCAATACTAGCACCTCATGAGATGTGTGAGACAAGAGGAAGTAAATGCCATTAGTTTCCACAAAAGCATATTCTTTTTGTAAGTGATTTGAGAATTGTCACAACAAAATACAGTAGCCATTTGAATTTTTGAAAGGCTTTTTACTTTTTTTTTATAGAGATCAGTTGAGGAATTTGCCTCCTTAAACTCTGAACCAACACCCTGTCTCACTTAGCGGCTCAGGAGCAGAAACCAAGCTATTACAGCATTAAGTGCTCATCTATGCTGGCCTTTTCCTCAAGATAAAAAGAAATTCTTCTCTCCAAGAATTTGAACCCCATGATGGTTTCTTCTTCATCTCTCTAAAATGCTTACCTCAAACACAATTTCTCTTCACAGGGAACAGCTAATAAAACATCAAACATCACATCTGAAAGCTACTGTTTGTGTCTTGAAATTCTGCTACTGTCTGCTGGGAGGAATATACCATATTGTAGGACAGAAAGTAGCTTTCTCCCTGATGCTCTCTGACAGTGCATCCTTGTCTTTGTAGTTAAAGCTTCTCTTTAATAGGCAGACATTATATTCATTAGAAGAGTACTGCCAAAGGAATGCAGGGAAGTGGTTGAATGCCAAGCCACAAGAAATGCTTCAGTAAACAATTCAAGAATATAATTTATGAAAAAATCAACCACTTATTCGGCAATTAGCAAAACAAATCCACAACTTTGCCCAATTATCTCTAAAAATATTTCGTTTTCCTTCTTTATGACAGTTTTAAGTTCTCTGTAACAGTTCTTAGAGCCATACATACAACTGATATCAAAGCACAGCAAAAATAGTATGTGTTTCAATGTGCTGATTATACTACTCTGTGGAAAACAGCACAAGTTCAGAGAACTGAAATTCATGCAAATATGATGGATACAAATGACAAATTCTCCTACAACATTCATGTCAAAAAGACCTTTTAGTTTTTGCACTTAAACAAAATTTTGTTTGTACAGACAAAGCACCTTTTGGGAATTATTTTCAAGACCTTTTTGATTAATACACCAACATGAAAAATTTATTAAGTAGTCACTTAGGGATAATTTACAAATATTAAAGATCCCTTTTTAAAAGCAAGGCAGTTCCCTCAAAATCAATCATCTCTTAGGTGAACTCAAAACAAAATGGGATACTCTGCTCCAGTCTTTTGCATGTATTATTTTGTAAGGTTTTTCACAATGCAGTTCTCATCATTTTTCCTATTACTTTTTTTGATTTCCAATATTAAAACCTGAGTTTTAGTTTCCTCTCTTTCCAAGTCCCCAGGACATCCAGAACATTCCCTGCCTGGCAATGCATTCTCTTTTCATGCTTTGTCTTTAGATACACATGTAAATCAGGGATTGTGCCAGGAGGGAGACACTGGAAGGCATGTGCTCCTCCTGGGTATCTCCTGGATGGCCTGAATGCACCAGTCGATCACTGCAAGTCATCCCTATGGCCTAGAGGTGATCCTGGTACCCTGCTCCTTCCCTCCTCCCAGCCCCAACAGCACTCCCAGCTGAAGCTGAGGGAAGGAGCACACAAAGGGGGATGTGCAGCCACAGAGAGGCCACTTTTTCTGCAGAGGTGCTGCCTGAAGCTGCTGCACACTGCTTGCTACCTTTCCTATTCATGCAACTCAGCAAGCCCTGCAGGTAGACTCACTGACACTCAAGCTAGTAAATCTGCCTCAATTACTCTATCTTGCCATGGGGAAATCCACTGTTTTGGAAAGGTTTACCCAGACTATTTAGGCAACATCTACCCTATTCCTTGCTATGGAAGGTCCTCTCTGATATCAGTTGTCTCAGCCCCTTCTGGAACAAGAATGTTTATTTTTCCTGATGAACACATCCCAGCAAAAACCTAGAGATTCCATTTCAGAAAGCCTTTCTTTACCTAAAGCTTTTACTTTTCTTACTGACTTAGCCTTATGTCTTAGGCTTAAAGAAATAAGAGTCCTATTGAATAGGTTTCTTTTTATTCTTCCAGTTTGCTGCATTGCAAGCAGTTATTAAAATGATTTGTAATACAGAACTGAATGTGGGCTACATCAGTGGCACTCAAGATTTGAGGCTGACTGACAGATAACGAACTACCAGTTTTCCAAGTAGCTGCTGACAGTCCTAGAAAGGACCAAGTTTAGCCTACTGTAACATACTGCACATGGATTCAAAAAAATGCCCTAAAATAGAATAGCCACTTCCTTCAGGCACTTCCAGAAACCAACTCCAGAAGGTATATTTGAGTTCTACACAAAATAAGTAACAAACACAGTACTTAAAAAGCCCAAACACAGGAAGACTATCTTCTGGTTTAAAAATATTTATTTAAAAGAAAAGGAGATCTATACTTAAATGGCCAGGAAAAAAAATTCCTCAGTTTTCCCCCTCCAAACCATTACTCTGCAATTTACCTTTCCCTTAAGTTTCAGCTTCAATGTTTTATAAAAAAAAAAAAACCCTGAATTTTCATTTCCTTTTCCTATGCTACTATCCTGAGGAAATTCAGCTCCATTCAGTGAAAAGTTGCATGGGATGCAAGAAGAAACTGCAATAAAATGTATCCACAATATACAAGTATAAAAATATTTTGCTTATGATTCAGTACTATAATTTAATAACTTTTTGTTGTTTCATAGGTATCTGGGAAAGGTACAGACACATGTCCTGATCCTGTTACAAGAGGTAGAATGCCAGCATTTGGTACAACATTCCAGGAGAGAGTCAAGGTGATATTCCTGTTTCCCCTGCAAAAGCAACAAAGACTATCAGCACAAATACTCAAGTTAAGTGATTTAATTAACAGTTACTAGTATTAAATACATTAGGCTTGTTTATCTGGTCCAGAAACAACAAGCTGTTTAATTTTAGGAAGTTACTTCCCACTCTTTTTTTTACTTGACTCCTTTGGAGTTGAGTGCATCACAGAACCAGTTTTACACAGCCTGAAGGCAGAAACCCAGAAGCCTGTTGCTCATAATAGCAGTGCATCTTCTAGTCTATGGAATACATAGGATATCTTGTACCCCAAGGCCATCTTCTAACAATCAAAGATGCAATAGAGATGACACAGTATCAGATGGAATATACCACATCAACGAACATACATATTAAACGCAAAGTATGTAAGGAAATCAAGATACCATGAATACCAGTAATAAAACAAATATTTACTTACTTGAGACCATTTCCATCATCAAAGAAGAAGTACTTTGACTTCATGTCTTTTAAGGACAGCCTTGGGTTATCTCCTCTCAACATGATCTTGTCCCAAAGGACCACCTGATTTAGGGCCTAAAATATAAATTGTAATTAAGTCAGCAAGGTATCTTACCAGAACACATTCAGACACTGGATCTTCATTGCACTATTCATCTAAAACCCCCGAAGTACATGCTTGCAATCCATAACTAATTTAACAAAATAACGCTTCACAGTGGGGTAATGTAATACCACTACACAGTGAACTGTGGCATTGAATAAATGGAAATAATAAGGAACATCTTAAAACACAAGAAAGACATTTAAAAAGAAGTCATATGCTTTAGAAGAATTACAAAGCATAAAGGGGTTTCTTTCTGAATTGCAAATGTAAGTCACTTTTAAAGCAGTATTAAGACTTTGTTTCAAATGAAGGACTTAAACTGAGTTTTCATGACTCTGCTTATGTCGTCAATATTTTTCCAACTTTAATGGAAATCTCTATTTGAATTGCAAGCATAACCCACCAAAAAATTTAATGTTGAAAAAGTGAGATCCCAAGTTCTTACCAGAATTTAAACTCTACAGAGTAAATATTTTACACTCTAAAGTGTAAAGTTCTTTCAAGTAGATGCTAAACAGTCTTGTTTAGTAATTTATAGAACAATTTAGAAAAATACTTCTCCATATTTGTGAGAAGTGTCGAGTTACATTGAAGAAAAATCTAAAATACGGAACAATACAATAATATCACTGCACAATCTAGTACAAATACATATCCACCATCTTGTTTAATATAACTAAGGTACTTAAAAACAAACAAACAAGTTGAAAAAGAAAGGACAGTTTTGTACTCCTAGAAAGTTAAGAAAACTGCAAAGCTTTCACCATATCCTTGCAATGTGACCACAGAAGTTTTAACTAGAATTCAGTGGTATCATGGCAGCATGGTGTTTCATGAAAGCAATTTTTTTAAAGACTGCTCCACATAGTTTTTATCAGGTCAGTAAAAAGGGTTTTCTGCTATCCCAAAGGGAAGGCTCAGTAGCAAGCAATTTAAAGGAGCAAGGCAAATTATTTTGAGAAGTATGACAAGATAACAAATGAATTATGGGGCTACAGTAACTGGTAGGGTCAACTGTGATCTATGAACAAAACACACACATCAGGCCAACCCAGAAGCCATTCTCTCTTGTTTCTAACAGCAGTCAACTGCAGAAATTTAGAAAAAAAAGTAAAATGGACAGAAAAGGTGAAGAAATTAATTTACAGTTACTATTTTAAGTATACTGCAACACAAGGCATGTGTTATTTTTCTCCCATTCTACTGGGCATATATCAAATTAGGTTTTATGGAGGTGAACTTCCCAGCCTACACTTTAACTGTCAAGAAAATAATCATGAAGGCCAGTAAAACCAGTACAGGCCAGTAGGAAATGCTCAACTCTTCTCAGCAAAACTACAGAATGTTTAAAAATAGCTGCAGTACTAAAATGGGTAATTGCTTCAAACCTCTTTTTAATACTTACATTGTTTTTCGTTGAATATTCTGCAGACAAATACAGAAACAATTGTTTAACATTCCAATCAAATATACTCTGCAGATGTATGCAAGTTAAGAAAAATACATACTGTACTTACATAACCTTGTTTTATTTTTACTAGATCCAAGTAGTCTATAATCATTACAGTGAGCTCTTACCTTTCAACATAACTCATCTTACTCATAAATCAGGGCACTGCCAGCAGTTTGAACATGTTTTAGTCATAATAAAGTGACAGGTTTTCAGGTGGGTATTGCTTTTTACTCCTTATGAAATCTAGCAGCTATTTCTCCTCCAATAATTTAAGAGTTCTGTATTTGACACTGCAAGCTAGTAACCAGAATTCTCTGCTAGACAACCTATTATAAAACCTTAAACATAAAAGTCATGACAGAATTCTTCCACAAATATCCTCACAGCAATTTTTTATATCAGAGCACCCTTGTATCCAAATAGAGTAATGTTAAACAACATATAAATACAAAATTGATGAAGTGTAGGGAATTCAAAGAGCCTTTAATGCCCATGTTAGAGAAATTAGAATATGGGATATATTTCCTATTGAAGGAGACCCCAAAATTAGCAAATTCAATTCTCTACTGACAACAAATAAAGCTCATTAGACTCCAACAAAACTCTGATCAGATTTTTGATCAGCAGTTCAAGACCTGATGACTGCCATTTGATACAGTATAATAATGCTATTCTAATAATGGAATTCTAAATAGTTGTCTATTTATTTAACAATAACGTGTGACTACTAAGAAAAACACTTTTTAATTCACAATCGAGGTTAGCTGTAATCTTTTATTTAGTAATCCTCTTTTGTAGTCTATTTGCCATTATCTCAAAAAATAAATACATTCCCTAACCAGCCTCAAAATCTGTTTTTCCATCTTCCATTCATCCCAAGACAGACATGTTTTTAAGCTACTAATTCAAAGGGCAAGAAAGTAAAGAAAGAAATATTTAAGTCCTGTTACTGCAGGAATAGGTAGAGATATTTTACTTGAAGATTTTTTGTCATCTGACTCAAAATATCAAACAAGATTTTGAAGATCTCCTTGACAGGATTTCTTATCACTTGCAAAAGTTAACAATTAATTAAATAAACTGAAAGGAGATTGTGAAAACTATATGCTCCCCTTTCCCTTGCCTAGTTCCTTTTTCTAACTGCTATTTTATTTAGCTTCTCCCAGGACTAACAACTTCTTTCTGGTAGATATGACAGTCCATGTACCTGTACGTCTTCACAAATGTTGAACAAAACCAAAAACCCCTACTACACTTTACAGCTTTAAATATTGCAAACTTTATTTATGCCAGGCATGAGAGATTCAGCCAGAATCATTAAAAAAAAAAAAAGGCTGTTACTAGTAGAAGTCATTCAAACATGGAATCTTTATGCCCACATATTGCAGACTAATCCTTGTATAAGAACATTTCTTGTAGAGGTGCTGTCCTGCCTTGCTCTGCTTCTCTCTATACACAATGTGTACAGGTCTGTGCATGTACTTTAGAATTTCAATCTCTGATTTTAATATGTATAAGCATTTCAGAGGTAAAACTCAGGAGCTTACCTCTCCTGATTCCACTTGATAAAAAAATCCTCTTATTCCTGTGCAAACAGACCTGCAAAAGTGTGATTAGCCTGTTTGTCCAGCATTTGTATAAAGAGTTGTATTTTGTGTGGGCTGCTCACACAATGCAGTGTTCTTCAAAAGGGCGAAACCAAAACACAGAGGTAATCAGTGTCTTGCCTGACAGTGACAAAAACCAGCAGACAGGGAAAAATCCCAGGATTCTCAGACCAGCTGCAAAATATGGTTTAGTGTAATCACCTGAACATGCCACCTATTATTTGGTACTGACTTCTGCAGAAAAACTCTTTCAAGAGCCTAAATCCAGACTGACAGGGAAGCAAAGAGATACGAAAGAAAAACTGCAAGTGAGAAAGAGGCCAAGAAACAATGTGATACATTTTTTAGTAAACCATATGTTTCCCAGTGAATTTCATACTATTCAATACTAAAGATTAGAGTCTTTAACATCTAAGCAAGTAAAGGATTACAATGCCTTTTTTGTTTTTAGAAGAAGACATGTACTTCTATGCAACTGTTATACAGTCAGGACTTAGAAAGCCTCACAACAAAGTGAGTTTGAAAGGTGCAGTTCCTAACTTAGGTATGACATTCAAAACAATATGCTAGATAAACCCTACCATTAATTCACTCCACAAACCACTGATACAAACTTCACTCAAAAGTAACAATGTCTAGATGTTAAACTGCACTCCCCATTATTAGATACAGTGCACTTAACAACAGAGCTTGATTTTAAAAACAAGCATTAAACAACTTGTCATCTACCAGAGACCAAACAGCTGGTTTAAGTTCTATTTTACTGCCACAGCTATGCAAAATACTATTTTTAGCTGCTTTAAATTTTTATTTTTAGACAAATTTTTTGTTTTCCCCAAGTCCTGAATATCTGAAGATTATAAAGTAACAAAAATAGCATCAAAGTGTTCTTAAACCAAAATGTTTGCAAACCATTTTTTCATTAAGGATATCTGCAGTAATATCAAATGTGACGAATCCCAGATCACTTCTTTCTCTAGGCCCAGTGAAATCTTCTACATTTTTTCTAAGAGAAAACAAAACACAACACAAGATTATCCTTTCTCATTATTTATATTTTACATGCTACATAAATTATAGGTTTTATTAGATATTTCCCTCATCCATTTTCTGTATTTTGCGTTATATACTTTTGGCTAAAACGCAATCAACATTACAAACTAACACCTACCTTCCAGAAATTATGGTGTCCCAGTTTTAAATGTCAGACCTTGCCACCACAGTGTCTAACACATTTAAATAGCCTATTGGCTTTTTCCTGTTAACGAAAATCAGTATCTAAGCTGAACTACATTTCATTTTAGTAAAATATGTTTTAGCATCGCCATATATGCAAAACTGATTGGGACACCATCAGCACAGAAGTCTGCTGGTAACCACGTTCAATATCATTTCTCAACTGTCCTTGAAAAAACAAAGCCTATTGTGCTCCTACCATTCCAATACATCAGTTTATATGAACAGTTCACACAAGTTTCAAGATTTATTCCTGTGGGATATTTAAATAATAGCATGAAGAAAACAGTTATTTTCCTCGACATTCTGGAAAACGGTATCATTTTGGAAGGCTTTATTATAAACCCACATTTGGAAAAGTACATCATGTTGCCACACTAAACCACAATGGAAAGAGCAACTGGAAAATAACAGACACACAGCAGATATTTCCATATGTATTCATAAAGCTTATCAGTTTACCAAACTTACCATCAACCATGAGGAATACCACAAGCAATTAGCTTGGCAATCAACTACGAACCTCAACTCCTCACTGAATAAATTCTTTTATGAATTATGAACTTTATAGTTATATTTTTTCCAGTTTGGAAATTAGTTAATAAAAATATTATTTCATTAAAACCAGGTTTAGTGATCGCAAATAATAATAAAAAAAAGTTCAAAAGAGAAGAAAACACTTTTGGAAATAGTAGTTAAGAAAAACACCACCAAATCTTCACAATTTAAGCCTTGGTATAAATTTCCATCTCTGCAAAAAGCAGTATATTTTTAAGTAGTAAGCCTTATCAAGCACTTGACTTCACTTCTTAAACACTGTGAGTCAGATGGAGTAGCAGGCCTTAAGCTTGGGGTCTCCAGAACTTCTCAGACATCCAAGAGAAGCAGATTAGGTATAGCATCTCCCAGCAACACCAGATCTGTGCATCACAGAAGGGACTGGCAGTACACAACCCAAATCATGCATTAGTACGCTGCCCTGTATATGCTGAGCTCACTGTAACACTCAAACACATGCTTTTATGTCAAGTTCGTGTTTTTGCAATTCTCAGTGTAGCAAGAATACAGGTTTTTTGTTTTTTTCCTGTGGTATTAAACCAGTCTGAAAGGTGATGGCAGTCCCTTTGTTTGCATTCATGTCTCCTTTCAAGTCCTGCTATTTGGCTTCCACTGGTGACACTTACCTTGGGGTGGTTCCTAAGCTGCAAAGAAGCATCACCAAATCACAGAACAGCCTGGGTTGGAAGGGTCCTTAAAGATCATCAAGTTCCAACCTCCCTAACATGGACAGGGACACTTTTCACTAGACCAAGTTGTGCAGAGATACATCCAACCTGGCACTAAACACTTGCAAAAGTGTGCTGCTTTAGCTCCCTAATCTGAGCCAAAACCAACCTAACAAAAAACATGAGCTGAGATAAAGGAACTCAGTTAAATGTCCTATGAGCCAGATTCCCCAGTGGCGCTCAGGTAAAGAACCACGTGGCAAAAACGGGAGCAAAGACCTCCACTCAAAGGTGGCTGTAACAGCTGCTGAAATGCTTGTGAAGCTACTGCCCTCCACATCACACATACTTAACTAAACGGAAGTTCTTTGTGAGGAAGTCTCCTTTCAGAGAAAAAAACCCACCCCGAAACAACACCAAAATTGGGGAAAAAAAGGTCCCCCAGCACAAGCTTGCATTAGCACGTTTTATCTGTGTAGGCAACACGTTTTGATGCGGTATTGTGTCCTACACCTGGTGCACTTCGCAGGGAAGCCGTCCCAATCACTTTGCTGCCATAGGACAAAAAGTATGCTAGGTTATCAACAGAGAAACCAAAGAGAACTAATTAAAAGGAACAGGTACTACGATCGGATAAGTGTTCATAGGTCCCTGTCCCTCCTCAGCTGGCTGGACTCCGCCGTGAGCGGCCGCTCCGCCGCGGGGCCGAGGCGGCCGGGCCGCTCCCGAGCGCCGCCCCGGCTCCCGCCCGGCCGCGCCGTCGTGGGGCTCCCCCATTGGCGGGCCCGGAGCGCAGGAGGCCGAGCCCCGAGCGCCGCGCGACCAGCCCGGGGCCGCCCGCCCGCCGGAGTCCCCTCACCCGCCCCGGCCCTTCCCCTCAGCTCCCGAGCCCTGCGCCTCCCCAGCGGGCAGCGGCTGCCGCCCGGCCCCGCCGCTCCCTCCCCTCTCGCCGCCGCACTCACAGCGTGACCCGGGAGACGGCGATGCGGACGGGCACGCTGCGCTCCTTGAAGGCGGTGGTGATGAAGCAGCCGAAGGTGAGCGCCGCCATCACGCTCAGCGAGAAGGCGAAGAGCGAGTTGGCCCGGGACAGCACGGTGTTCATCTCCCCGCTGGGCCCGGCCGGGGCTGCGGCCGCTGCTCGGGCGGGGCGGGCGCGCGGACGCGGCAGGAAGCGGGCGGCGGCGGGCGAGGGGGGCGCGCGCGACCGCCGCGGGGGGCGTGGCCTCGCTCCGACTGGGCGGGCTCTCGGAGGTCACGCCCCCTTAGCAGCTCCGCCCCGTTCCGCCAGGAGATGGGCGGGGCCGACACCGCGCCCGGGCGTAACATGGCGGCGGGGCTGGGGCTGCCTGGGCGCTGTGGGTTCGCTGCCTGCCACCGCCCCCTGTGCTTCCAGGGCACTGCCTCGCACAGGGGAGATTCTGCATTCCGTGTAGTAAAGCGCAAATAAGTTTTAGGCGGAGGCTTGTATTTTCGCTTGATGTCTGTATCTTGCTTTCACTGGAACTGTGATTTGTCGTTCCCTCCTTTGTTTCCTGTCGGGTGCTCCTGTTCATTTCCACTTTGGTACACACGTACTCAGTATGTCAATGTTCTTGCCTAGAAATTTCCTTTAGTAGCTGGGCTTGTTCTTGGAATCTTTTTCTTTGGTGTAGTGATCTCACACTTTTGGCAGGGTGAGGCAGCCTTTCACCTTACTCCACCGATTTGGTTGAAATTTCATTTTAAATTGGTACCAGCAAAGAACAGTTTATGTAGTGAGCGATTCCTGACTCCTCCTGTGTGCCCATTCCTGCTTCCCGGACCTGCAGCATTATCCGTGTGAGCACCCAGGGGAATGAGAGCTTTTGCAGTGCTTTGGGGCCGATCTTTTTGTGAAGGAAGTATTCCTGTATATTAACGCTGTATTCCTGGGTATTAACGATACCAGAACCCACCGGCGGGGATTTCTCGGGGCTGCCAGCAGGCGTCAGCAGTGATTCGGGTTTGTTTAGTTTCCTGTTCGCAGCCCTGCGGTTCCAGTGCTGCGGACACAGGAGCTGGGATGCGGGAGTGTGAAAGGGTGGAGGGCCTGATGGTGACTGAAGGGACGGGGAGGAGGAGGTGGGCGCTGCCAGGCCATCCTGGAATACCTGTGATGAGGGTGCTCTTTCTTTTCCTCCCTGTAGCCAGGAGCCAGGTCTGTGAATCAGGGGAGAAAAATCTTTGCAGATAAAGGTAGGAAGTAGAAAAGGAAAAAGATCAAGTCTTTTTGTTTTCCCCCAGACTGAGTACCTGCAGCACATGTCTGTTTAGCCTGCGGGGTGTGAAGGTACCTGAGGAGACATTCCTTTGGGACCCTGTGTTCCATGTGCAGTTGGTTTCTGTGTGCCTGTGCATTTACCATGTTGAAATCGGTCACAGGCCCAAAGAGGGTACGCTCTTTTCTGGTTTGCATTTCCTAATTCTTGGCCTTTGTGATATTTCATAAGAGTTTCAGCAGTACAGAGAGCTTCTTGTGTGAAGACTTTTGTTGGCTTGTTATTGTTTTATGCTATTCAAAATATTAATTATTGTCATGATTTATGATCTGGAACTTGTTACTGAGCCCTTGGATTATTTTTACTGAAAAGTGGGTACTTCCCCCAAAATATTTGAAGACTTAGAAGCATTTTACTGTAGCTTCATTACAGAAGTTACAGCTTCTTCATAGCTTACTGTAAGCTTCATTTCAGAAGTTATAAAATGTTTGCTACTTTAAAAGGATAATTCAAATGTGTACACCATTTTTTTTCTTGTATCACAGAAAAAGGCTTAATCACCTTTGTTCTTGCTTCTAGTTTATGTAGTTGCTATTTAGAGTTTTTCATACTAAACAACAATTTAATTTAAAAAAATGGCCCTTGGGCAGAACTTAATATAATAAATTAGTGAATTTTTCAAACCAGTGTTTAGGTACCTGCAAAAGACCAAAATCAAAAGGCATATCCAAATTAATGTGTTTTTAAGGCAGTGAAAAAAATATGGCTATTGCTTGTGGAGGTTTGGATTTATTTTAGTAGAAACTTTAAATAAATGTCACTTAAAAGCATAGTAAACAGGGGAAGACAGATGGTGTAATTTATTCAAGGACTGATCTATTACTGTTTCAGAATAAAGAAACCTATAACTTTTTAATGACTGACATCTTGCAAAATCAAAATAGGAAAATATCTTGAAATAAGGCAGTTGTGGAAGAAGAAGGGGAGATAATTATTCACAATAGCTATTTGCTTGTAAGTTCTAGATTGTTCTTTGAAAGATATAAAATATGATATTTCTTGAAGAATGGTGACATAATGTTAATGTCAAAAGTTGCTGACAGCTAAATAAGTTATGTTACTGGGAATTGAGCAAATATTATAATTAGGGAAACAAATTTGAAGGAGCTCGGGGAAGCAGAAAAGTTTGGGAGACCATTTCCAAGATGCAGTGGAATGGTATTTATTACCACTCAAGCAGCATCCTTAAGCTCAGACCAGCAGAGCACGAGGCATGTCAGTGTTCAGGCTGGCTATTACTTCAAGAAATGTCATGTTTTTCATTACAAACTCGTTGAAAAAAATGCAGAGGTAGAATTGGCAGCAGATCTGAAATGTAGAATTTGCCATCCTTCTCCAGTCCTCACTCTAAAATTATCTGACTTTGAAAATGAGTTTTTGTGCACTCTTTGATCTATTAAACATGTGTTCTTTTTTTATAGTGCCGGCACTTCAACAGGATTGATCCTTGTCAGCAGCTGATGATAAGTAGTCTTTTGAGAGAGAGTAGCTTGCTTTCTTTGGTTGACATATTTCTACTCTGATGTTCAAGTTACGGAGCGATTCCTTTCATCATCTGTAAACAAAACAGCAAGTGTTGACACTGACCATCAACAGAGATTGCTATGAGTTCTTAGTTCTCCCACTGAAGTCATATTGGTTCTAACATGGAACACATAGATGGAACCTTTGGGGTGTATGTTGTGAATTTCAGGTGAAAGGGAGGTGTTAACTTCAGCCCAGCCCCTTTAGCCTTCTTGGGGCTAAGTTTCTGACTAATTTTACAGGGGAAAGTTTAGGTGCCTGTGGCATCTTTGCACCTAGGTAGATGAGGACCTTTTTTGATCTAGGGACATGTATGTATGTTCTGATTTTTTTTTGCCATAAATCTCTAAATAATTTCTTGTATTAGTCCTTTATTAATTGTTGAAATGTTAATTCTTTAAGAGACTGTAGCAGGACGCAGCCTCTTAGGCAGCTCTGGGTAGGAAGATAAAGATTAAAATAAATGTGGCCATGATCAGCTGTCTCTTGCAACAGCCCCCTTTCAGTTAACACCTCTTCTGGATGGCTCATTTTTACAGCTGGTGTGGAAAGGCTGTGACTAAGAGAAGAGGCTTTTTGGACTGCATTTGATTCTAGTGCTCTCCTCACCTCCATTTTTTAAACTTTGGATCTACACAGTATGCAGAATAAGAAGATAAGCAAGAAGAAATTTTCACTTGTCTTTGTAGTATTATTGTGAATCCTTCAGCACGAAAATCTCAGGGAATTTTTAATGTCTGATTTCAGAATGAAGTTGATCTTCTACAACATTGTCTCATTTAATGGCATAATAATATGGCAAAATAAAAGCTGCATCACAGAGAGAACCAAATATTCTTGGCTCCAAAGTCAATATGTTTTGGAGCCTAACACCATTAATTTTTGGCTCCTGTGAGGTTTGCTTATTTCATGGCCTATGAAGCCATGTTAGGTAAATTCATTCAAACATTACTGATTTAGCTTAACCTTTCTCACTTCACTGTGCTTTCCATTCTGGACTAGAAACCCGAGTGCTACCGCTCCACCTCACCCGGGTTTTAACCTCATTCACTCAGCCAGTTGCAAGTCTTCATCACAAGGTATTTTTATGTCTCTCATAAAAGCACCAAGCAGAGACTTGTCATGCCTCAGCTTAAAGAAAAAGATGTTTTACTAGCTCTGTCATGGTGATATCATTTAGCCGATACCAATTTTAGTGGATGGAGAAAGCCTTTCTGTTATGAGCACTAGCCATGGGAGTCAGCTTATAATGACATAAGCTTGCAGAATAAACTTTTAACTCTCATCCCTACTATTGTCTGTGTAATTTGCTTTTATTAACAACATTCTTAAGCACCAAAATATACTTTACGTAGAAAGAAGAAAAATTAAACCACTTAACTACTTTGACTTATTCAAGAAGAAAATGTGACAAAATATGAAGAAAGAGGGAATAAAAATAAATGGATGATTTCACTGTTTTTAGAAACAAAAATTATTTTTTTAAGAAAAAAATTAAATGGTTAAGGAAAAGTTTACAGAAATCCTGTAACATAGAATAAAATTAACAGTTTTGAAAGGAATTCAAATTGATGACAAAAGATTCACAGCTCAAGTATTGTTTTTATTTAGAGGCATCTATTTAATAAGAACCTGTGCTATTTTTGCTGTTAGTTGAATAAAAGATTAACTATAAAAACTGCAAAAATACCTTGTTTAGTTACATGAATTTAGATTAATAAGGTGGTTGCACTGCTTACTAGAGAAATAGGAAAGTTAGCTTGTCAAGCTAGTTGAAATACCAAAAGCATTGGTCCTGTGGTACCACAATTCTAAGGAAGAGGTTGAGTTAGTTGCCGCGGAGGGAGTCTGTTCTGTAAAATGCTTGGCAATGAAAGAAATTGCTTGGCCCCAGAAAGGAACTATACAAAGGGAAAGAAGAGCAAAATGAGGAGGTTCTTCCCAAGATTGATTGATACACTTGTATCAGTACATAAAGCCAAATCAAAGATTATGCCTGAGTATCCTTATGAGGAGACAGTGAGTACGTGCATTTTGACATTACTCTCCCCTCATAGTTTGCTGTGACTTTTTCTAGGGGATCATTTGCCTTTTTTGCAGAATGGGTTGTAGGGGATGGGCGTGAGTGGTTTTTTCGGTGTAAAGTCTAACAAGGTTGGTTTTAACTTACATGAAATTGCTGGATTTGGAACTGAGGTGTGTACCAGTACACATTCCTTCCTGTTGATTTCCAGCAAGGGAGAGAGAGGGTCAGGAAGCTTTAGCTGAGGAATGGAATGGGCAGCTGGAGGTGGTAACTTTTTAAACTTCTGGGGGGCAAGATTTGCTGGAGTTCGTCTGTCAGCAGGCTGTGTGTGCCTGCTGTCTGACACGTTTCTGGGTTTAGTAATGTCTCTAAGTACACACATGACTTATTTTGGAATCTTCTTTAATACTCTTAATAGTTGAGTTATGTTAGATATCCAAAGAGGACTGCAACAAATACTGTAAATAAACTTACTATGTTTCTAGCAAAACTCAGATTGAATTTACTTGTAAGCTTGTTGGTCATACCTACTTCCCTTCTGGGTAGAACTTTGCTGTCGTGAGTAGATGGACTGGTTAAGCAGATCAAGCATGTTCATGTGATAATGTGACAGCAGAATTGGCTGATACCAGACTTGCAGCTGCACGACAAGCAGCTATCCAGTGGCGCATAACAAAGGAGTACAGATTTGACATTACTGTCCAGCAGAATTGGCTGATACCAGACTTGCAGCTGAAGGGGAATCTGTCCCCATTAGGAGAAGCAGCTATCCAGTGGTGCATAACAAAGGGGTACAGATTTGACATTACTGTGTTATTTTTTCAAGAACTGAGAAAGTAGAAAACTAGAATTTCTTAATCATTTAAGTAGCTGAGTTACTTCTGATGCTTTTAAATACATGTTATATGGAGAATGTCTGTTATGTGCAGAGATACTGATTGATATTTAATCCCTGACCAGTAATTCCATTCTCTGGAAATCCAGACATACAAGTCTGTACGCTAGAATTATTTTCTAAGATAGGAGTAGTATTTCCAACTACTAGAAAAGGCAAAGCACCTCAGTTAAAGTATTTTGAACTCATTAAGGGTTAGTAGAAAAAACAATCTTTTAATGATGTTAGAAATGAAAGGTTGCATCATTTATGTACTCAAATAACTCGATTTGTATAGAGCCTAAACTGTGTCAGACCAACGATTTTAATACACTGGAGGACACAAGTACCACTGTACCACCGAAAGGCATAAATTTGAACTTTCTAGAGCAGTTCAAGAACTGATGGAAGTAGTGCGCTACACGAAAATACAGAGAGAAAGTATGTATGTAACAAAACCTTTGTAAATTTGTGTGCATTAAAGCTCTTCTAAAGGAGCTGTTGTGCTTCATTATTAGAGAAGGCAAAAGGTGTCTAAATATGTAACTGTTAAGTAAAATGGGTGTCAAAAGCCAGAGCTCAACTATAAGAAGTGTTTTAAGACACTCATTTGTCCCTCTTGTGCCATTAAAGATGTCATTGCATTGCATTTTGAAACAGACTTTTGGTTCAAGTCTTTAGTTGGGTTATCAGGCTATTAGCCGGGATTATAAGAACTGCAGAAATCGGAATGCAGTTCCGATTTCAACAAATTTGACGTTGTATGGTTTGTGTAGATCCTGCATAGACATGGCATTCAGGAAGAAATCTGCAAAAAGGAGATATGAGCCTTTCATTTCTTTGGTTTACAGTGTTGTGTCTGTTGTAACTGGCAACACAACTCTCAGGTTTTTGTGCTGAGAGTACGGCTTTGTCATGATGCTCAAGTCTGTAGAGTTCTTAAGGATAGCAATGGGGTGCAGTGAAAAAGCAGTTCAGATCTAAACCAAGTCTCCTCTTTTCTGGATGAAAAAGTTTGTGTTCTCTCATTTTTTGTCTTTTCATTCCCCCAGAACAGTAGTACACAGTCTGTACTTCAGCCACCTCTTCTCTTCATATTTTATGAAGAGTAGTATTTGGGTTGTATTAATGGGCTTGAGTTCCTGTTTAGAAAAGGACACAGCAGCTGCTTGATGTTTTTCAGTTACTCCAGCTTCTGAATTTCTTGTAACTCACATGTAAATGTGACTTGTGTGGTTTATTTTCTGTGCCTAAGCATAAATGCATAATGTCTTTAACTTAAGAATGATATCAATGAAAAGAACATTTAAGACTTTTTGAAGATTGTTTTATGGTATGCATGCCTTTTTGTCTTCAATCCGATGTTAAGGTAACATTTTTGAGGAAATAAATTTTAAAATAGTTCCTTTGAGTCTAGATTTCTCCAGTTCAAATGCTTTGAATACAAAATAGAAGAAAAAATTGCTGAACATAGATTAAGGAGGAAATGACATAACATTCAGTAGCTTTAGATAAGTAGGTAAAATTTTGAGGATTAGCATCTCGTACACTCATTAAAATACAAGTCAGCTGGTCACTAAGCAGGTAATTTTTCATGCTGAGTTAGACATTTCCTTTTCAGTAGCTCATGCTTCTCTTCTTTTGAATCCTTCATGAAGCATTTTATGCTTACATCAGAAACTCAGTACTAAAACTGGATTTCTTACTGGTATTTTATTTTAAACTCTTTTTTTCCAGGGCATTACTTTATAAATTTCTCCAGGTTGGTTGCGTATAATGTGTAAAATAATAAATTCTTCGAAACACCTAAGAGTGCCTGTTCTATTATACCTGTTATTGGACAGAAGTTTCAGAACCAGGATGATTATCAACTTCTTGTGTATATTTAGCTGTCTTTAGTGTGGAGGAATACATGCAGGTGAAGTGTCATACAAACAATTCCTTGTACTGTATTTCATCTTTATCTCATTTTTAAAATAAACATTTCTACTCTCAGAGTTTTATATGCATTTCCAAAATACAGAAGAAAACTGTTAAGACTAACTGTAATGGAATTTGTGTTGTGAATATAATTACTTCTTTACATCTTCTGTAATTTAGTTTAAATAGATTACTTAAAAAAATATAAATAGAAGGAAGTATGCTTTCCAAATATAACAACAGAGCATGTGCTACAAAGAAATCATATTTCTAAGGGTTTTATCGTCTTTGATGTTAAAAAAATTGCCTTCAAAGGCTGAATATTATATCAGTTGTGTTAATTTTCTTGTATATCGTACCTTACTGAAAATTACACGCATCAGTCCTCTAAAGCAGAGATGAAAAATTGCCAGAATAAAACAGTTTATGAATGTGGTTATGCAATTAATTATAGATGATGGAGCATAGTTTATGTGGTTTGTGGTTTGGGGTTTTTTTGTCTGTTTTTTTGTTTGTTTTGTTTTGCATTGTTTGTTTGGTTTTTTGTTGCTGTTTTTGTTTATTTTGGTTTTTGTTTTCTTTTGTTTTTCAAAAAATTACTTTGGTGAGGGTAAATTGTACACTAGATTTTGGACAGTTTGAATTAGCACAAACAGGTGCCACTGCTAAATACTTTCTGCACTTGGCTGGTACACAGCAAAGCATTAAAGGGCAGGTTGCTTTGTCTGAGCTCTGGAGTTTGAAATGAAGCACTTTATAGTCATTATAAACAGCAGTATTGCTATCTTGATTATACAGATTATGCTCTTGAGAAAGAATAACTGACCACGCTACATTAAGACGGGAACTCTAAGACCATAAATTCCAACATTTGAAGTTTCTTAAGTGGTTTTAAAATTAAAATAGTTAATTGCTGGATGTGGGGAGGGGAAGCATATCACAGGAATCATGACATTGTTCTTGTTTTATTTGCTGGAAATGTGCTAGTATGACAGGGTGAGGCTATTGTTGCCTGTCATGGTATTACTATCTTCTTTAAAAAAATAAAAATCCAAATATTGTTAATCTCAGTGTAGCTTGTTACCATTGTCTTGTGTGCTATCATAAAACCCTAAATGCTAAAATAATTTTACATCCTATCTCTTCTTTTGACATTAAGTGGATGAGCAGTCAAGATTTCCTTTTATTTAGGTTTGTAATCTGAATTTTGTATTAAAATAAAAATTATTAAATACCTAATTAGTTATTCTTTTTACCAGGATATCTGAGTGTTTCTTTTAACAGCAATGAAGTTATCTTCAGATTACTCCCCATTTTACTAGTGAGGAAATGAGGCCAAGAAATTTCATTCCCAAAAGTCAAAACTACATGGGAAATGCGAATATCCAGATTAAGCCACTGCTCTTTTTAAGTGTTTTGCTGTCATTATAGTGTTGTACATTTGTTGCATATGGTGCATTTCCATTTGGAAGCTCTCATTCTGAAGTGCTGCAACATCTGATTCCAGTTCACATTGCCATGCAGTTCACATTGCCATGCAATAGAAAATGTGGGACACTTACGTCCCACTTTTTTACAATCCTTCATGTCATCTCATTGACTGTCAGATCCTTCATTTATGTACCTATACTTCTGTTTTCTGATTTCCATTACAGCAGCTGTAGCTTTTTGTTTCTGGTTTCCCACTCTGCATGGGCTTCAGATCTCAGCAATCACATTGTTGGTTCTCCCAAAACGCCGTGTGGGCGTTAACTTCTAAACAGTTGCTCAGTTTTCATGACTGGGTGCCTCATAGCATGGCTCTGCCAACAAGCTGTAACGATAATTTCTGTAGCACTTTAGAACCATTAGATTAGGATAGATTTGGTTCTGTGCAGCTGGGAGAGTTTCCAGCTAAGCTGGCACATAAGAGTTACAGAGCTCTAAAAAAAGAAGAAGTATTATAAGACTAATTTTGCCAGCTTCTGACAAGTGTGTGTGAGCTGGAATTCTCAAAACTCATGATTTCATGTAGTATTTCTTCCTTATGTAGTTTAATACTGATGAGGGAAGTTTTTGAAAGGACACAAGGCACGTTTTGATACAGGAGTAACCTTCCTGTTCGATTTTCATCTTGTACCTAAAAACGACTTTACAAATCTGTGAGGTTATTTGAAACATCACTTACAAAATACTGAATGCATATTGGCCTTATTATTGTAGTTTTTAATTTAATTTTTTTGAACCTAAACAGAGAAAATTGACTTGAAGAAAACTATTTAACAATTGGGAAATTTATTTTGTGATTTATCTACTGCAGTTATAAGAAGCAGCAGAAACAGTATTGTTAGTGGAAGATTAATTCTGAGCACTGTTAATTCCTGCTGTTGTTTATGGTAATTGTTATTTGGAGTTTTGCCTCTAAAAAGAAAGATTATTTTGTTTGTTAACAAAATGTGGGAGAAGTCCAGATGAGAAAGCAGGTACTAGATGGCACAACATGAAAAAAGGGAAAAAGGGTCAGATAAAACATTGTAAGGAAGAATGAGCTTTCTGTAACATAATTATGGCTTTTCCTTGTAAATGGAAATTTGTGAAACAGGTCCATAAGATGGCTGGGGAATTCAGTGGACTGATCAAGTTAAGCTTAGTAATACTAGTACAAATATGGAAGAAGTAATAAATTCCAATATTGGGTGTGTTACTAAGGAAAATACCATTTCTATTAATGATTGAAACAGAACTTGGCAGTGGTAGCTCAGAACATAATGCCTTTTATACTTGTGGAAAACATGACACCTCAATTCAGTGTCCAACAACAATGTGCCAAATATAAGAAGGGATTTTCATTTGGCATTTTAAGTACTCATTCCCGCTTCTAAGAATGGTATGAGGAAAGCAGTTCCTATTCTGGCTGGATGAGAAAATGTCTATAAATGAAATTTAGTAAAAAATTGTGTATTTTTTTCCTAACTAATATAGTTTACAGTGTAAACTCCTTTTAAATTGCCTTTTCTAGTTATGATTGACTTTTAAGCGGATTAAATTTTTTCAAAGAAAAATACCTATTGCCTCTTTTTCTCAAGATAAGCACAATTCACTACCTGTCTGTTGAAAATTTTAATATTTATTTCTAAGAACATTTCCACTTATCATTGTATTTTCTTCATTTGTATAGGTTTGTTTGAATTTAGTTTCCAGAAAACATTACAGGTTCTTACTCTAATAAATTACTGTGAGAGTCAGATAAGAGGTGCCTTATTGTTTCCACTTTCCTTTCAGAAATATGGTTTTGTATTATAGTGCTTAATATCTACTATGCTGTTCATTGAAGTCAGGGTGATCTGTGGATGCAGTGACATTTGGATCATACCCTTTTATCCTGATGGACAGCTGCCAACATTCTAAAATGTTTTTATTTTTTTCTAATCACCAAACAAGAAGCCAGGGTAGAATAGAAAAGCTTAGGATTACTTTGGGTAGAGGATTTTAAGTTATAATTCAAGACACTGTTTTTTTAATTTAGCAGGAAGTATAAAAGTTTAGAGTAGGACCGTTTCTTTGCTGCCATGATTCTTTACTTTAGGATTATAGTTCACTTAGAAATCTGGTTCTGTCATGCAGCTCCTCTGTTTGTATCATGTTGCAACTCAGCAATTTACTGAGCAATTACTCACACTAATGGAACAACTTGTGAGTGACTGCTGATGACTGTGAGTAATAGCATTAGGCTTTATAAAAGCAGATTAATTCTTAAAAAATCGGAGGAATTTAGATTCCCCTCTCTAAAACTGGCTAACAAATAAAGCCTGTCATGTCACATGATGCAGTACAATGAAATACATATCATAACTATTAGAAATTTTCTTTGTTGAAATTTTACCATTGCATTTTAATTAATTTAATTTTAGGTGTTCCAGGTCTTATGCATAAAAAATGCTAGATATTTGATTCGTATTACCTACTCTAAATACTGTTTTTTATATAGTGCTGAAGTCTTTGCATACTAGATGCTTTCATTCAGCCTCAGCAAAATGACACTGTCAAAGCTGGTATATATTAAATCTGTTTATTTATTAATGTGTACTTCAGTTATTTACTGATATGATTCTGGTTTTTTAAGGAAAGAACATTAGTCTGACATAAAATGAAATAACAGAAAAGAGCAGTTGTACTTAAGCAGCAGGAAAACATATCTTAGCAAAAACAGATTATGTGAGTTATGTGGTTTAGTACATAAATTTCAGGGTTTTATAATAATACTTTTGAAAATGTATTTTAAACATGTAAATAAATTAATTAGAAATGCAGAATTTGCAATGCAACAGACCTTTTAAGTGGAACAAGTACAATCCAGGATCTTGGAACCTGCTGTCCCACATGAATATCACCAGGCTAGCAAGAGTGGTAGTGAACTCAGTACTATGTACAGTATAAATAATCGTCATATTTTGAGCAGCAGGCATCATGACCAGCTGATATTTTCTTTCCTCGGGACCAGTTGTTCCCAAGAGTGCATGGCTGGAGCCATATGATCTTATCAACACATTTGAGAGCCCGACCCAAACACTGACAGAGATTTTGCTGCAGCAATGACTGTCATAGAAGAAAGTCGCCCTTTTGCACAGCAGTTATCCAATGTCTACTTTACTATACTTTCACTTTTTTGTTTTAAACTGTTTGTGAAGATCAGCCTTGCTATACTTAGTCATTTCTACATTGTGAAAGGAAACCGTAAGGAAGCAGCAAGGATAGCTGCTGAATTTTATGGAGTTCCTCAAGGACAAGGTATATTTGTACATACTTTGTTATCACTACTGTTTGGGGATTTTGTTTTTCAGGTAATTACTTATCTGCTAGCCTCATTTGCATTCAGTTTTTCAAATGATTTGTGTGAGTGGAGTTTTTTTTCTGTGCTTGTTGCTGTGTTTTTTATAGCAAAAATTATCTGTATGAATGTTGTTAGATTATGTGAGCTTTTTTTTGGGTTTTTTTAAAATTTTTTTTAAATGAATATTAAGTTCAGAATAAAACTGAAATATCATAGCCAGTTTTCTGTTAGGAGAGAGGCCTATATTTAAAATGGCTGTATATAAATAAGGTTGCCGAATACTTCCCAATTTGGGACTATTTTCCCAATTGCTCCTAATATTCCCCAGCTTACCATGCATAGTTGAAATTGTTCATGTTTGGCATATGATTATTTTGCACCACTCTAGTAAAACTGGTCCAAATATTTCTGAAAATTGTGTCTTGATTAGGGTAAAATTTTCATATAGTAATTTTTTTGAGGGATATAGTCCTCATATACCTTGAATAAGTTGTCTCTTGGCACATAGCAGGAACCTTAGTAACACTTTGTCAGGGTGAGCTTTTGGGCATGATTGTGGAAACCCTTCAAATTTCACTGGGTTGAAAACTCTTGTGGAAATTCCTTTTTCTGTTCACACATACAGAACTTTGGCAGAACTGTTGCCCCAAGCTCATCTGTAGTGAGGTACCATTTTCATTCAGTTCTTCTGCATTACAGAACACGCTTTCTTCTAAATTGTGGCATGGTGGTAGATGACTGAGTCCTGATTTTGCTCTACTCAGGATCCTTGCTACCTCACTTGTCTTTATTGTTTTTCTTTGTATTCTGGGATGGCATCAAGCTGAGTTAGGCAGTGGAACAGGAAGACTTGTCTTGCCTCTTACTGTTTTTACCACTCATCCCTAGGTACCACAAAGGTGAAGACATAGTCCAAGTTAAACATAAAGAGAGAAACTAGAATTGAGCCTGAAACAGTTTCAAACTCAAAAGATTTTGGCAGTCTTCAATGCTGGGACTAAAGCTAGACATTTTATGTAGGGTTGTTAAAATTTGCAATCCAGAAAGAAAGGCTTAAATCCTAAAGCAGGAATTAGCTTATTTTGCAGAAGATTTACTTGAGATGGATTTACATCATATGTTTTCTGTACAAGCTCTGAAACCCAGGGTTTTTACATCTGAGCCTGTTAATGACACTATTACTATGCGTGTGTGTTTGTGTGTGAGTGTATGTGCACATAAATATGTGTGGGAGGGTGTGGGTATGTATGGATATATTTACTACAGTAGGATAGGAAGAGCACAGACAGGAACACTTGCAGAGAATGGGGATGGCCTTTCTTGAAGTCAAGAATTTTTTGCCAGAAGCTGCTCCTTAGCTCTAAGGCAGCTCTTTATGGGAAGACCAACATATGAGCTGGGTGCAGAAGGAAAGAGACTTGGGAGGAACTGGAGGGAAAGGAATAACATGCATCAGGCTGGAGAGTAAAATAGTGTTTATGGTATTGCCTGTTGCTGAGCCCAGGAATCTGTAATTCAGTCATTTGTCAAAAGTTTAATCTCACACCTAAAGAAATTTTAAGCATTAAGTATTACTAAGCATTCTAGTAGCTGGCCAATGCAAAAGATGAAAATCTATCACTCTTGCAGGTTACTGTTTCAGTCAGGTAGCAGAGGTTTTTATTGATTTAAGGATCAAACATATGGTAGATTTTATAGTTTTCTGCTTGTTTTATTAAAAGAAAATGGTTAATGCAACTATTTTATGCTTACATTGTACTTTTTACAGCTCAACATCAGTGTGTCTTCATTTTTCGCTGTCCAGCTTGTAGTGCTTTGTTCTGGGTTTGTAACAGTTGTAAGCACATGTTCAGCTAGTGTTACAGAATCTGCTATTCATCCATTTGTTTGACTGTTTGACTAACAGCAGCAGTCCTTGCTCTTTGGGACGCAAATAATTGACCTCAGAACCATTATTTTATCTTTTCTGTAATTTAGTTCTATATCTGTGGAAATAGTCATGCTAGTGTCTGAACTCACAATGTGTTGTGGGATTTGATTTTTTGGTGTTGGTGAAACACAGAGATGCCTTAGCAGAATTCTTGTAATACATATAACAAAATATCCCATTAAAAGTGATATCTAAAAGATGTACAGTAAATAACATGAAGCATGAAACTGCTTGAAACATTACAGTGTAAAACTAAATACTGAGTATCCTTCTAATTAATGATCCATTCTGTGTTTTTTCTCAAGTAGCAGAGAAACCTTGGCAGAACAAACACAGCACAAAGAACCACCAAGATAGATAATTAGCCTAGCATCTATCATTAGCTTATTGAAGTTTATAGTGTTTCAATAAGTAATTCAAATTAGAGGAAATATTTCTCTTTATTTTCTAATTCTAACCTGATTACATACTCTCAAAATTCTGTTAGGAATGGTATTTTAGGTTTGCTTTTGATAACAAAAGATTACTTATTGGTGTTATAATGGCTTGGCTGGGACAGAGTGCTGTAATTTTGAAGAAAAAAGAACCTTTGGAAATAATGTGCTACTAGGTACAAGCATTATTTCATACTTTCTAAAGTGACTCCTTGAGTTAAAATAAGTGTTTCTTTTATGAAGTCTGTGTATTGAGGGTGTTTCAGATACAGAGAGGTAGTTTTTGGTGGAACTCCTTTTGTAAAATTGAAGGTATAGAGGTCAGTTCAGGAACTGAGGCCCAGGGATCATGCATTTCAAGGCTGACTTGCTTTATTGTGTCACTTTTTCTTTATTAAATATAAGGAGACAGCTTTGCCTATGTCATCTGCTTTGTCTGGTGGTGTTACTAAATGTTGGTGATGAAATGGGTCATACTTTGTTGCTTAATATTTCAGGAATATTTTCAGTTTCAATAGTCAGCGTGGAGTGACTATTGAGTGACTAATGGAGTCACTCAATAGTCATTTATCCTTTAGATCTCAAGTGTATATGAATGGCTGGATAATGTCACAGTCATTAATTAGAAAGTATTATACTGTTTATGTGGTCATGAAATATAGGAACTGGATCAGTGTTTAGCATCAGCTAAGACCAAAAAAGTGCAAAGGTACCTTCAAAAGTAAATTGAATGCTCTAGGATCAAATATACATGAGTTATCTGGCAAATGTTTGGCTAACCTGTTTTTTAAATGCTTAGTAATTGTGATTTCTGCAGCATCCTTATGCAACCAACTGCAGGTTTTCTGTTCTTGTCACTAAACTGCTTCCCATTCCCCCAAGGGTGACCCAAATCTTTATTTTTGCTAACTAAATTCATGAAATATTATTGTTTCTCTCTGTTTATGAGAAGTAATCAATTTCAGGACTATTATCATGCATTTTCCTACTTCTGCTGGTTTTTTTCTTTTCTAGAATAAAGTAAAAATGATTTAACGTAATCTGTCCTCCTAAGTCTTATTTTCTAGCACCTGGAGTTACTGCAGTTGCTCTCCCTTGGACTAGTGCCAGCTCATATATAGTTTACAGACATCTTTACTGATGTCTCATTTCCCATGTTAAACGGAGTGCTCCAGCTGAGGCTTTATGAGTGTAACCAGGGGAACTATCAGTTGTATAAAAGTGGAGCAATTATGTCATGTGCCATGTATATGGCACCCTGTGTAATACCTCCTGGAATGATGCTGCCCCCTCAGCAGTAAAGTATTATGGATAGAGGCTGGAGCCTGTAAACCATATGTTAAAACAAAGTCACTGTATTGTGCATTTGCTTTTTCCTCTCTACATGTAGTACTTTGTACTGGGCTTCAGCCGATTTCATCCTGTCTTAGTATCAGACAATTTCTCTGTTTTACTTCTCTGTTTTGAATTGTTTCCCTGTGAGCAATTGCAGCATCTACAGTTTAGTGTCATCTACTGCCTGCATAAAAATAAATACATTATTCTATCATTCACAATATTAAAAGCCTGAATAGCACCAAATGCAGTACAGAAATTTGCAGTCTTTTACGTTTGCTTAAAGTGAAGACCTGTGTCTTAATACGCTATTAGAGTTGAATTTTTTTTTTTAGTGAAGTCAGTGGTATTAGTACCATAAAAAATTAAATGAAAAAGGGATCCATTGTATTATAAAGGTGCCATTTGCTGGTTATTTTTAACTTTGGCACTAATTTTGTAAACACTTACTCATATACACTTGCCCTGTTGATTTGAAAGGGACTGATTAGTTGTTTGGAGCCAAGTGCTTTCCAGTCAGGGACTAGAGCTGTGTTGGAAATGGGTTGTGGTGCCTAGTGTTTCTTTATTTATTGTGTTGAAATGAACATTTACATATTTGTTGCATTTGAAACTTTGCAAAAGTCAACATTTTATTAATTTATTTCTTAATGGGTAAAGACGTAACAAGTATATATTTGCTCCATTTTAAATTTCTGTGCCCTACAAAGCAATACACAAGAATAAACTAACTTGAAAATTAACTTTGGGCATATTTAGCTCCTTAGAAAACTATGTGTAATGACAGTGATCTGCACAGTAACATTTCTTCTCGCATGGTATTTCCAGATCTGTGAAGAGTTAATAAATCAGGCTTTTGTACAGCTGTTGCTGGATGAACACTGGAGGGTCAAAAGCTGCTTTTAGACTCTTCGTACTATACCAACTAACAAGTCATATAATGAAAGTGCTCTGAGTATAGGAGCACTGGGTTGGAGCTTCAGATGCATTTTATGGTTTAGTTGCTTTAGGATGAGGTAGTAGATCTGTGGTATGAGATTATTTCAAATTTTGTGGATCAAATCTAAAGAGTTAATCAATTATCAGATCATTTGGGTCTATAAGATATAAATTCTGCCAAAAAATACTGGTAAGATCTCGGTTTGTATGAAAGAGCCTATACTTTGTTACTAAAGATAACTTTATGGAAGGAGGCATAGTTCCCACTCATAAACATTTTTATAAGGCAGAAGGTGTCTATTTTATCAAAAGTAAACCT